TCTTGAATCACTCTAATGTGAACCATCAGAGTTGGTCTGGAGGCTTCTCTGAAGATCGCCACTTATGGGACTAAACTTTTTTTCAATAAAAGTTTCAGAGTTACACCAAAGCAAGGCATGCCAAGCCCCTGATTTCAGCATTTGTTCCTCAGCCAGTTATCTCCTAATCTGGGCCCACAATGTCTTGGCATCTCATGAGGACCAGCAGTGCTGCGCGGGGGCAGCTGCAGCAGTGCATGGGCTCTCCCCTCCATACGCATGGACTGGCCAGATATGTCACGGCATGGCAGGGTGACCCAGCTCTTGTGTGCCCTTCCTTGAGAAAAACAGCCATGTGCAGGAATCCCCTGGGGAATCTCTGAGTGCCATGGTATCCAGAAGGGCCGGGTCTTAACATCATAGTGGCCGCGTTTGAGCTATGCATTTACTGGATGACTTTACAGAACATATATTCTGAATGGGAGCCAGAGCACAGAAATTCTCTGAACTGCAACATTGCTGGTTTGAGCTCCCAAATTATTCAGTCAGTACTGGTAAAAAGGATTTGTAAGGCAAAACCCTTGTAGCACGGCCTCCAGGGACTCTTGCCATGCTGCTGTTTGCTTCCTGACCATCTGGACCCACCGCAGACACCACCCTGGCTCCTGTTCCAGAGCTCAGGCTCTGTCTGGGCTGGGATTCCCCATCCCACTTCCCTGGGTCCTTCAGGTGCTGCCGGGCTGGACTCTGCTCTCCAGATTCCAAACATTATTTTTATAAAGTGCCCATTTTTAAACCTAAACCCTCTTGCTGTTAGCCTAGTCCCCTTGGGACCACTCGGTTACATGTGCTAAGCTTTTCCAGCATAACAGCTGGAATAGCGGCTTAAAATCATTATTTCTGGTTATATCAACACTCGATACAGGTCAGAGTCAATGAAAGCTTAGTGCATTTGCCCAGAATCTTTAAAGCTTCAGCCCATGTCTGTGCTTTTTCTTATGCAACCCCTTTTGCCTGGGACCTAGTGGATATTATCAGCATACTCTTTGGCACACTGAAATTTATTGTTTTGGCAGCATTACCTTAGTCTGATTCCAGCCTATGTGCCATGTGCCAAGAAATCAGGTTTTTTTCAACTTTTTGCATCTGGTTCAGTCCATCCGTGTCTGTTGTCATGTGTCCCCTCCTGCTACCTCATGTTCTCTGTGTACAGGGCAATATCTTTTAGCACTCAAGTGCTCTGATCCAAACCTTTTACAGCAGGTATGGACTATCAGTTCCTTCCAAAAAGGCAGGTCCCTGGGAGCAGAAGAGCTGGGAGGAGGACCCACGTTTATGCCGCCTTCCCACTGTGTTTGCTTCAATCATGCAGGGGACTGTGGCCTGAGTGAGGCACTTGAAGTCTTTAAGTTCTTCAAAGGCAGACAGATTTCAAAAAGCCATAAAGGGCTGTCACAACACCCAGGAGGGATTTAAGAAGTCAGCTCCCATTGAGAACTGTGAGGGCCTGGATGGGGCTATGGTTTTGGCCCTTGCCTTTCCCATGGCAGAAGTGACTGCTTCATTTTGAGCACTGCCATTTCCTAGTCCCTGTTGTACCTTCCTGGAGAATAAATACTTTTTGCCATGGGGCATTTTTCTATTTACTGGTTTCACTTGTGTTATCTATTCTCCCTTTGCTAATTTTTGCCCTATAGGGGCAGAGGTCTGTGCTCATAAAGCCCCAGACCCTAAATAACCTGACTGCCCTGGCAGTGTGCACATTGCCAGCCTGGAGGCAGGCTGGGTACTGCGTGCTTGGGCCAGGACAGTGCCATGGGCTCTGCTTTCCAAATCCCATCCTGTCAAGGTGGACCCCAGGATGAGCTTTATCCCAGCGGGGTTTTTCCGTCTGGTTGCCATAAGCACTTCCATGTGGCTCTTCCAATTGGCATAAGCCCTAGGACTGCCATTCAGCCATACGAACTCCATCTGATGTGGCTGCTGCTATGGAAAGACTGCTTTGGTGGTCTTCTGTGGTGCCCACAGGCATGTTTAACTGCTAGGAAAGGCTCACAGCCCTGACAAGAAGCCCAAAATAGGTGGCAGTGGAAGCTGCTTTGTTGCCCTTCAGCATTTTATGGCATGTCTGCAAGACATCCTGCTCCTCTACATCACTGTAACTTCCTTCACTGTCTGCAGGCTCACCATTTGCCATTGTCTTTGGCCATGTAGACTCTAAATATATACATGCCCTTGTCCATGATTTGTCTCATATCTTTTCACCCACTGAAGTCATCTTTCAACTCAGAAAGCGAGTATGCATGTGGCTTTCCTTCGACAGATATGCTGTCGTCTATTGAAGACACAAGCTATCCAAAATGTGCCCTGGAGACTACTAGTGTTTCTGGAGAGGACTGTCTTGGGGATATCACTCGGGCCTATTTTACACGTAAACCCACCTATTCAACAGAGACGTGAATTTTACTGAAATAAATGTAAGAATGCACTTGTAACCTGAAGGAAAGCTCCCCTAAAACAGCATGTAAATGTATTTCTGAACTTTCAAGTGCTACGTGGGGAGATCAATTTTATTGTTTATAGTTTTGTCTGCCAGTCAGTAGCATTTTGGCTCCAACAAGGATGGGCAACTATGCCTGGTTTTGAAGAAACCCCACTTTTGAAAGACATCAGAGAAGATATGCAAAAGCAAGCAAGGCTTGCAAAACAGCTTCTCTGAGATAACGTTGCCAAGGCAAACGCTGCTGCAGGTTGACTTGTCTGAGGTTGCATGGCTTGAGAGAAGTTTGTCTTTCATGAATCATCCATCCCCAGTCGCTTTGCCAGTGGCAACGATTGAAGCATCTGTAATAGAGGTTTCTGCTCTGCTGCTCTGAAACGCTTATAACCAGACGGTATTTATCTGGGTGCTGCGAGGGCAGCGAGGTGTGCCCCAGGGAGGCAGTGCTGAGGATACATAACACAACCTTTAAAATAAAAGCTATTCTTGACACTTAAGAAAAACCTGGCTAGGCAAACGTGTCTTCAATTAAACAGCACAAAGAGCACTTGTTAGGGGTTGGATCTGAGCTTCATTTGAGCACTGAGGAAGCGCAGGAATGGCCTGGGCCACCAGCGGCTGAGTCCCCAGCTGCACTAGCAAAACAGTTCTACTCATACAAAATCAGAGAAATGCCCTGCAGAATCAGAGCTTTTTTTTTTTTTTCAGTAAATGTGACTGTATGAACTCTGTAAGTAACTGAATAGGTACAAACCTCCTTGGGTTTCGCTAGCATCAAGTTCAGTGATGTGTCAGTCAATGTCAATAACATTCAAAATGTTATTGAGAATAAATAGCAATGAAGCAAAAGGCAATGTCTACTCTTGGATGATAAAATTTAAAGAAAATACTAAAGTGCCCAATCTGGCTGTTGGCAGATCATTGATTTTTTGGATTGGTGTAAAGCCAATGATCCTGAAGAACAGAGACAAACAGACAGATGTTTCAGGTTTTGTGTCATACCCAGACTGTTCTATAAGTAAACTCATAATATGTTTATCTCAGGGAAGTTGCCAAAAATCACTGGTTTCTTGAGTATGTGTATAACTTGCATGCAAATTCTCCTTCCCAGCAAAGGCTAAAGCTGCAGAGGCAGTTTGATTAAAAAATCGATTGTATCTGTATGAGCCAAAGAAAGCATAGCTGTGAAAAGAAGCTCGTTTCAACATGCACAATATTTGATATTCCTCCTCTGTAACCAGTGCCAAATGGCAGATGTGTTTAGATTCTCAATTAGCTAATCGTGGCAGCTCTGTCAAAGAAAATTGCCTACCTTCAACACAGTATCGTGCCATCTTGGTTTTTAGCTCTTGTAGATCCTGACATTTTATTTTGATCATAATGATGATTATCTCCCAGCTACAATCTGTCTTTTCATATTAAACATTTCAAAATGTTTTTGTTGAGGCAGACATTTAATTTGTACAATTTTGAAACCTCTTGAATATTGCGTATTTGAAGCCGTATATTCAAGTGAAATTATGAAATAATAACAAGCAATAGAATAAGGAACTCCTCAGCTCTACACTTCAAATCTGCATACTGGATCCAGATACTGCCTTTACAATAAATTCTTCACCGCTATGAAATTAGGCCACAATATGTTGTAGTTTAGTCTGGTGCTTAGGACATCTTAGTCTTGTCCTCCACAGTTGTTTAAATGAAAGCAAAAGGTGGATCTTCTTTCTTTGGCTTTTGTTTGCTGATTAACAGTCCTGCATTTAAAACTCACTGCACTAGTCAATGAGGAACAAAGTGCCCTAACTATTTTAATCAAGTTACTTGCTTCATCCTTACCCATGCACTTCTGAAATCATACCTGTACAGCAAAGAAAAGAGGACAGTTGTTCTTCAGGATAGAAGCAAATGTCAGCTGTGGCTGAGGCATCCTTGACGAAATCTCGTGGACTTCTGTGGGGTCAGCTTTCCATGTACAAACTTCTGCCTTTCGTTTTTTTAACATCCTGCTGACAAGTGTTGGTTAGTTTCTCATATCATCTTCTATACCATGTCATTCAAAGCCTCGTCCAGGCTCTAGGTCATTTCAGCATGCAGATTTTTCTTATATATCTTCCTTTAATTGATTCCTTCTCCTCAGCCTTGAATCATATACTCAGGAAAAAAATAGTTGTGCTGTCACATGTTGTTTAAATAGTCATTGTGATATGATTAGAGGCCAGAGTTAACAAAGCCTAATGCTCCTTGCACCCCAGAGTCCTACTTTCCAAAACAGACAATAGCCTAAGTCTGCCACTTCTGTCATTATAACCATGGCCACCCTGTGGGTGGGAGGGGCTGTCTGAATTGCAGCATATTTTATCAATTTCTGATGTCACTAATAATAAAAAAAAGCATGGAAAATCTGCAGTATAGAAACTTCTCCGGGATTATCAGACATGCATAAGTGAGGTGAGATACAAGTATGATCCCTTCTTCAACGAAATGCTGTAGTAGTTATTGGAATACCCTTTAGAAAGCATAGATGGTTGTGCAGAGTTTGATCCGACAAAAGGAGGGTAGAGCCTCAATCTGACATGGTAATATCCTGAAAATACCAGATGAATTAATCTACTTAACACATCTCATCTCAAAGATTTTGCCTCATGTAGTCAAGGTCTTGCTATAATTAAAACTAACTTAAGAAACAGGTGAAACAGATTCCATCAAATAATGTAGTAGAGATTGTAATGAGGACTTTCTCCTCTTGAATTAATGTACATCCCATTACTGTTCTTCTAAATGTTATCATATGGTACTTCCCCTCCTTCTGAGTCCCATTAGTCCTGCAGACACTTCCTAACTACAGGAACATGTTACTGAAGATGATCAGGACCCATGTGGTGATGATTGGTTTTGTCCCAAACAAATGAGAACAGCAGATACGTAGAAAATAAAGTCAATGTATTCATAGTTGGGCTTCACTGTATATTAAGTGGCCAATTCAAATTCTATCTGAAAATGCATCTGAGGATTTTGACTGTCTATGGATATATGTCCAAACCAGTTTTTTCATTCCCATGTTTTGGTGTAATCTCCAGATGAATTATATGCTGGCAAATAGAAATCTATTGTCTTCTATGCTGACTAAGAAAACAAGATAAAATTCTTTCCAGTGGAAGAGGACAGAAAGCTGGCTTCCTATTCCATGAAAGTCAAACCTTTTTTAAAATTTGTTAATTACACACCAAGCATAGAGCTTTTTGAGAAAGATGTATTTTATGAAGAAAGAGAGAATTAATTTGCTGCAAACCAGTGCAGTGTATTGATTAGTGTCCTTAGCTAGAGAGGAGAGCCAGGGTCAGACCCCCGCTACTACTGAATTGTGCACTCAAGTCTCAGTCTCCCATGTGGGAGGCAGGGAGCAGAGGAAAAAAAGAGGATGAAAAGGAAAGGGAAATAGATAGCTCTAGACAGCTAAAGAAACTTTCATTGAACAAGTATGTTCCTTCAACAAATGTTTGCTTTTGCATTCCCCTGGATTTTCTCTGTCCCGCTCAGTCTCAGGAGGTCACTGATCTTCCATGCAGAGGCGAGGACATGGGCAGGGAGCAAACAGGGGAAGTGTGGGGCAGGATGGGGAGAAGCCACAGTGAATGGAATCAGGGCAAAGGCAGGACTGTTTTGATGTGTTTGTCAGTAGAGACTTACCAAATCCAAATTATCAAAGATAATGAGAAGGAAGAATAACAGAATTAACAGGCAAACTGAGAACTCTGGTACAACAGCTGATGCATTTGGCATCATGTTCTTTATGTGTCTTGATCAAATATGTAAAGTTTCTACATTCAATCTGAAGAGCTAGAGGGTTTTAGTAGTTTCTTCTTCTACTGCATGAAGTAAACAAGCAAAACCATAAATGAAATTAAGGCACTTTTCATTTCTGCATTGTTTCAGATGATGGAAAACTGTCCTTTGACGAATTCAAAGCTTACTTTGCTGATGGAGTTCTGAGTGGAGAAGAGCTGCATGAACTTTTTCACACCATTGATACACACAATACTGAGTAAGTGCCCCCTTCTTACAGTGCTACTCTCTGTACCTGAGAACAGAAAAAAGACATCAGGCTGATTTTAGAAAACAAATCTAAGAAGAAAGCTGCTTCAGGGAAACTAGGCTGTGTCATATGGCTCTAAACTGTACAAGTGAAGTGTTTTTAAACCTTGTAGAAATATCTGCATGTTCTAATAAATGTGATTTGGGTACTGAGAACACAAGGTGGAAACTGGGTGCCTTCTATGTTCCCCACCCATGATAGTAAGGAAAAGGGGCTCCTTCAAGCTTAAATATGAGTTCCTCAGTTCTTGATCCCACTTTGCTAATTCATTACATGAGGTGAATACTTGGACCAGATGTTAACCAAGAAAAAAAATAAATTAAGCAATCATATATAGTAAGGAACAGAAAAAGGCATCCTTTCTGGTGCTGCTAATTGTGTCGGTGCTGTTCCTTAGACTGTTTGGATATCCCCATTAAGGTCAGGCTTAACAAGGCCACAGGGAACTGACCTGACAGGAACTTCATGAAGTTCAACAAGGAGAATTGCAAAGTCCTGCATCTGGGGAAGAACAACCCTATGCACCAATATATGCTGTGGGCCACCCACCTGGAAAGCAGCTTGGCAGAAAAGGACATGGGGTGGACACCAGGTTGAACATGAGCTAACAATGTGCCCTTGCAGCAAAGAAGGCAAATAGTATCCTGGGCTGCATTAAAGAAAATATTGCCAGCAGGTCAAGGGAGGTGATCCTTCTCCTCTACTCAACACTGGCGAGGCCACACCTGGGAGTGCTGGGTCCAGTTCTGGGCTCCTCAGTACAAGAGAGGCATGGACATGCTGGAGAGACTCCAATGAAGGGCCACAAAGATGATTAAGGAACTGGTGCACCTCACACATGAGGAAAGGCTGAGAGAGCTGAGACTGTTTAGCCTGGGGAAGAGAAGGCTCAGCAGAACTTTACCAATGTATATAAATACCTGAAGGGAGGGTGCAAAGAGGAAGGAGCCAGGCTCTTTTCAGTGGTGCCCAGTGACAAGATCAGAGGCGTTGGGCACAAACCTAAACACAAGTGGTTACCTCTGAATATCAGGACACACTTTTTTTACTGCGAGGGTGACCAAGCATTGGCACAAGTTGCCCAGAAAGGTTGTGTAGTCTCCATCCTTGGAGATATTCAAAAGTTGTCTGGGCACTGTCCTGGGCAGCTGGCTCTAGGTGGCTCAGCTTGAGCAGGGGGATTGGACCAGATGACCTCTAGAGGTCCCTTCCAACCTCATTCGTCCTATGATTTTGACTGAAGAAGGGAATGAATTTCCTTTTTATTTGCCTTCTAGCCACCAGTAGTTTTTCACAGCAGGTCTCCCATTTACTCTTAATTAGGAGGGTGTTTCTAAGCTAGTGGTTTTTAAACAGGACTGTTCCTGGGGTAGGGAATGTCCTGAGGAGAGGCCATTCATTGCTTTTGCTAAGAGGTTATGAAGACATCATGTGGTAATCATGTAGCGTGGGTTGTGGTTCTGGTTACAAGGAGCGAGTACACAGTAAGTCAGTGTTGCTTTTCTCAGCTGCATACAGTGGAGCAACAATATTCAGATGCTATCACAGCCCTGCTTCCTATGTTTACTGTAAGAAAAGGTAGGAGCAGTGTAACAGGACCTTATCTCATCCAGTGCCAAACTCTGCTGTTGTCTGTGGGGTTTTTTGCCTTCCACAGGAAAACAAAACCAACAGGCTGTGATTTTGCAATTAATCTACTTTGTAAACATCAAGACTCTAACTCATAGTGAGATGTTAGTAGCCTTGCTCCTCAGACACATGAATTTGGCAATCACCTTAATAATTTAGGACTTGCATCTTACCCCAGGTAGCTCTAGACAGGCCTTTCCCCTTGGCCAGTTCTTCCTGACAGTGACTCTCATATGGCTTTTTCTCCTTTGGATGTCTGTGTCACAGCATTACACCCCTCCTTCCTTTCCTTTTTCGCAGCTTCTGCTGGTCCTCCTCTGCAAACACCCAATTGCCATGACAGTTGTGCATCAGTAGCCCCAAATGCTGACGTGATCCCAGGCCCATCACCCTGGTGGCCTGTCAATGACCAGGCGTGATCCTGGCCATTGACATGGCAGCTACCCTTGCAGCAGAAGGCCTGGAAGTCCAGCCAAAGGTTTTTTTGGGAACCATCTCAAAGGTCATTCTTCTGAAGAAGCCTCACTGAAGGCCTTGTGTGCTTGGAAGCTTGTCCATTTTTTCCACAGTCATGAGCTAGTCTAATTAATATATTCTATCTACTTACAAATTTTGCCTCCCTCCAATCTAGATAGAATTATTAACCAACTTCACCTGTTCCAGAAAGTATGAAAAAAGAAATCATCTGAAGTCTGAAATCTGGTCAATATTGTACCAGTTTATGCTAGGCAACATGTATCTCAATTTATGAACTTTTATGAACAACTTCCAGAAAGATAAACATCAAAATTTTGAAAAAGTTTCTAGGTTTTCATTACCCTATATACAAATCTTTTTTGTAAAAAATCAATAGTTAAATGAATTCAGATATTAACTATTTAAAGCGTTGCTTATTTCAAGCCATTTAAATATACAGAATATATGCAGAACCACATTTCTTTGCTGTCTTAAGAGCTTGGTTGCTTTTTTATAAACATGTATGAAGTTCTGTTCATGAACAATATTGTCTGTGTGATTATATGGAGCCATGAAATGCCTACAGTTAGGAATCCTCTTTTAGATCTGCTCTCTGTACTCATAAAAGCATTCACACAGGCACCTAATTCATATAAACAGAGGACTATATCCCCTGGGAATAAATGCCTAAATAACTCCGTGGATTTGTTTTTCAGCTCTGATCTCACTTATGTTTCTATAAATCAGGCAAAACTTCTCCAGAATCATTAGATTTTAACCAGCACAAAATGGAAGTATGGAATTGGACTCCTAATCCCAAGGCCATCCTAAAGCATTCAGTAAAACACCCTGTGTTGAAGGCTTTTGGTACTAGGATGCAACAGAGAAACAGGTTTCCCAGATGCATCATTCTCCTTAACGGACAACACAGGAGAAGAAATACCAACAGGTTACCTCCTATCATAAGAAAAGAGAAGGCTGTCATTATTTCCCTAATTTCCCTAATTTATCAAAAGTACTTATGTGCTAGAAATTCAAAGCAGAAGGTTGCAGAAATACTGTTAAATGAATAGGTACTGTGTACCGAAAAAAATAAGTGTAACATTTTAATTTCCTCAGGTTTCTTAAAATCAGTGGAAAAGACTGAGAAACAAATATGATCTTCAACAAATGCAATACACACAGTCTACCTAATCCTAGCAAAATTAATCACATGCTTCTTAGAACACCATGGGAATTTGCTTAGCAGATTAAGGGCCTTCATGCAAATTTTTAACCCAGAGGCAAAGACTCATTTCAGAGCCAAAAACTCATTCCTACAGCTTTGGTCTTCCTCATGTGTACCACACGTCTGCATGAGAGTGGTTTTATTTTACCATGATTCTATTTGCCTGCATTTGTCAGGGAGCATCCTGATAAGGGCAAATATCCTTGACGACTATATAAGATTTCTAAGAAAAAGGGTAGATGTTCTACATCTATTTTTCCTTTCTTTTTATTTGTAAAGCTTTTTTTTTTTTATTTGTAATTTTTTTATTATTTGTAAACCTTTTTCTCTTTAGCAGGTATTATCAGGACCTGAAAAATATGTAGAAAAGTGAGAATAACATCACGTTTTTCCTCCTGGGAGATAGGTATACCTGAAGGATAGGTGCAACTTTGTCAAATGCAACAGTTATTAGCTGAGAACTTGTAATGAAACTGGCACAGCAGTCATCTAAGGGAGAGATCATTCTCACTGTCCAGGAAAAGCCTGGCAAAAAGCAGGGCACAAAAGTCACAGAGAATATGTACTGTGAAGATTGTATTTTCATGTATTTCAGGGGACTGAACAAGTGGAAGACTAAGAACACCTACTAAATTACCTTTTCCAACCAGAAGAAAGGGTGCTTTCTATTGACTGGCTAATATTTGTTCTAGAGTAGAACCTAGGTATAGATAATAAGAAAACATGCTTAAAGTTTAGATTTAAAACAGCAACAAGAATCTTTTTGAGTAGGTTTTTTCATAAGGTCTTTGACTGGTTAAATGTTCGTGCCTGACTTTGCAGACGAAAAGTATTCTACACTGCTTGATCTTTCTCTTTAACAGAAGCAAATACATTTGAAAGGCTTTCCCTTAGCATCTTTGAAAGCTTTTGAGTGCCCTGTCATCAGGCAGGCAGCAAGATGGAGCATGCCAAATGTCAGATAGATATAGCAAAGACAGACAGCTTGGACAGCGTAATATAAATTCCTTGTTAGTACAGCTTTCCAGCAAAAATCACCTGAAGCAGATATAGTAAGGAGGTAAAAACTTTACTCACTGGCATTTGCTGAAAAGGACAGATTATGTAAAATGTCTCGAATTAACCAGCTGCGAAAAGAAGTAGCAAAATGTTCATTGAACCTTGGGAAGTTTTGTAATAGAAGCATTAAGAGAATCACATACAAATCAAACAATCCCCAAACCACCTATTTTGTGATGTTTGCACTTGCAAATTACCCAAGGGAATGAAATTAAAATCATGGTTTGTGCCTATAATTCCCAAATAGCTTATGGCTGGTTTTTAGTAGGAGAGGGAGAAATTCTACTCAGTTGTGTATCTGGTAGGAGAAGATTCTTTTGTCTCTCTTATCCAGTTAAAATACAGACTCTGTCAAACTCCAGACAAATCATTTATCTGCTTTCTTCTTCACTATTTATAAAATGCAGACTGTAGTTCCCTATCCCAGGAATATTTTGTAAGCATTAAGATTATGCAGTGATTTACACTACAAGTAAATGCCCAGGACAGATGGCTAGGGAAGCGTGTCATGATCTGCTAGATCATTTCTTAGAGTATCTGAAGATTTCATGCCCAGCTTGTCACAAGAGCAGACTTT